CAAACTATTCCTAATATCTTCAGTTCTGCTGAAAACGTTAGTGTTAACTAAACTCACAAACTCATTGGATAACAAGTTGATAGTTGAAACGAAATATACTCATTTCCAGTTTCAGTAAGAACATCAATACTGCATTTTAGGTTCTTATAAAAACTGAATCTAAAATAGGATCAAAGGTTCTTTCCGGACTCCACCACTAGCTAACATACATACATACATTAACTAAGAGTGAAAATGTAGACTAAAAACTTAAGAATTCTGTATATTATTTCATATTGAGCTAGGTTTTTACGGCTCAGATTTTGTGAATTCGACTGAAATGATAGTTCAACTAAACGGCATTTTCATTTGTTTTCATATCGATATCACTCGTTGTAAAACATTTGACTGGATAATATGCCTTTTTGAACAAGTTGTTTTTTAGGCTGGTCCGTTTAACTACGAAGCTTTGATTGTCATGATCATCAATGATGCTAACTACAAAGTTTAATAAGCACCATGAAGGTGATATACACTTTGTTTTATCAGCATGGAATTTTGTTGGTTATAATAATAACTGACTGTTTTATTTGTTGTTTGTATATTTGATCATGATTGATTTTGTTCTTCCCTAATCCGATCTTTGACTATGTGGTCTTTTATCGAGACTACCTTAATTATTTGACTTAACCATTTGGCTCAAAGAATACAACATTTGCAAAACCTTTTTCATTATCTTTACAAAAACCTCAATAAAAAAAAATATCATTAGCAAACAAAACTATATTTAACTTACTGGATTTCCATCTTTTTCCAATTCTGCAATACGATTAGCTTGTGCTTGTATTTGTTCTTGTAGTTTAATAATTCGTTGATGAAGGCCTTTATCACTGAAATATGGATTATGTTCATTTGAGGACAATATGTAGGGAGATTGAATTTGTTTAGGTTGTTCAATAACATTTAAGTCTAATTTAGTAGGTCGTGTGGCCGGGAGCTTGAAAGAATTTAGAAAAATTGTATTAATGATATTAATTACTATATGATTAAAACATAATCGTATGGAATTCAGTTTATGATGCTGTCAAATTTACTGATTATTTGAAAATACTAAAACAGTGCAACGACTGAGGAACATCAGATCCAGATTTTATACTAAATATCTTAAAAGGCGGAAAAGTATAAATCTCAAGTCAACAGAAAGCAACGAATAAACCTTACACATGTGTATATGTATCAAGTTTGTCATAAGATATAAGCACAGAAAGATAAATAACAAAGAAGTATAGGTATAATCAGATTTGGTGATATTAAAAGAGCATCAAACTGAATGAATTTGTACAGTAGAAATTATAGAATAATTTGAAAATCACTGCGTAAGAGAACATATGGATTATGTGTGTCTGGAGCTCAGAAACGAATTCTGTGACGTTTTCTCCAACATCTGAAACCACTAGTCACGACGATTATTCCGGCTACAACGAACCAGATTGCATCTATCAGTATGATTCGGTCTAAGAGTTCGTGAGAAGCTGTGACCAGTGAAGTTCAACTATGTCAGGTATAAGATAGTTGGCACTAATGACACCAGAGAATTGGAAGAGGAAAGGCAAACAACTGAATACTGTTTTGGTGGTGTAAGCATGTCTTAGGTTAGACTTCTGGTGCAGTCCTGGATGCATGTTGTAAAGGAGGTGCCCAGTATTAGAAAAAAACTATTCGGTGTTTCTTACTTTGCAGTGATTATCTAAGCAAAGTTAGTCTACAGTATGAAGGTAGATAAGTCTGTTTGTTATGCATAATTATTTATATGAATTTGAATAAATTGATCGTGTTGTTTTATATCGAAACCATCAAATGTTATACTCGTAACTTGAACTAGCAAGACGCAGTTGTTATTGGTTTTCCTTGTTTTTTCATTAAATTACCAAATATATTAAACTGCAACGATATCCCAAAGTCTTAGCATTGACGGAATTATTTTGTGCAACCATCCATTAAAACTATGTTTTAGAAATATTTTGCAACAATACTCCACCGCACGATGAAGTCACATATGTACAAATAAGTATTCAACTTTATTTTTCTAGTTAATCTGAGTTTTTATAATAAAATGAAATCTTATATTAACTTGCTAACCAAACGAAATGGACGTATATGTATATGAAAAGAGACAAACTAAGCAGATTATTTGAAGTATTTATGACGTTAAACAAAGGTGTTATATTTTTTAGCTTTAAACTATCAGATTATTTGTTCAAACAAACACGGAAACCACGTCATTGACTCCTAGTATTGACTTGCTCTACAGTTTAATTTCAAGATAAAAAAAACTAGGCTTGTTTTGATTTTTAGCCGATTGGAACGGTAAGTTCGATGGGATAGTTGATATAGAAAGTCGACTCCAGCTAAACAATTACTGAAGGCGGGGCAGCACTGACTCTCTCTATGTAAGACACTTCTAACTAGAACCTACCAAAGTTCAGGCTCGAGTTGCAATGGTAGAAGCAAACATCATCGTCAATTATATCACTACATGATTGTTGCATAATATTGCGAGCTAGCTGAATCAAGAAATTTGGACCGGTTTTCTTGAAACGTGCTTTCTATGATACATAAGAGTGCTTGGTTCAGTTCCTGGGTTTAGAAGCAGTAGTTGATACCTCTTACTTAGCCCTATATTAGAAGGGCGAACAAGCTTTTTAATGTTATCAGGTTTTTAATGGTTGTCTGGTTAATGACAACCTTCAAAAACGTTAAACAATTCTGTTTACTACTTAATAGTTGACAGTTTTGTAGTGATGTTCAAAAGTGTTGGCTATTTCATCTCCTTGTGACTTAGTTAAATTGGACAGTTAAGAGAAATCGAAGTGTTATACATTTCGCTTCAAGCATTGTATTAAGACTTTATGACACGGTCTAAGGAAGAAGGTAACGATATTGCATCACAATGTGGTATCAAAATGCCTATGTGTGCAGTTGCGTATACTCTTCTGTCAGCTTAAAACTGAGTTGATCTTACCTGTTAGTTCATTTATAGTATTATTGTCTAACACTGAAAAACGGCATAATCAGTTTCCAAATTTAGTAATTTCCAACATATCAGTTTAAACATCAAGAATCACACAATCTAACTACTGACTACTCAGCATCAGGGTTAGACTTATTCATATGTGTGATATAAGCTGAATGAGACATTAAATTAAAATTTGAAATGTTCCAGAAATTAAGCATTAACTTGAATTCATACTCCGAAAATGAGAACACCTTACCTTGTCTTTCATATTCACAAACTTTTAACTTTAATAATCGATTTTTGTTTAATGACTTCAATCAACGTCCAACTAGGTGGATACTCTAAATGTAATAGTAATCCATAGAGATAAGGCTAACCGTAAACTTTCTATAACGGTTTTAAAAAGAAACTGTTGAAAGAGACGTAACTTCTCAATTTTTTAGGATTTTAGTTTGCGAATGTTTTCTTGTTACGCAGTTAATTTACTGATAAAATTTCCAACATAAGAAGAGCTGAATTTAGTGGATTAAACTTGCCGTCAAAAATTAATTAAACATGTTAGTCAAATAGGTTGAGGCGTCATATGTAATGATATATATATATATATATATATATATATATATATATATGCCACAGAGTAAATAATGTGATGCTTTTCTGCCATTTGACACTTTGTTTAAACAACCGTATTTGGCAGAACACAAACTCAGTTTGAAATATCTTACTTTCTCTATAATAATAAATGATTATTTCACGGAGTTCATATCATAATTAAGCTTGACCTAAAAACTGAGCTCATTATTAAGTAATAGGTCAGAATCAGTGACTTTTAGCTTCTCTACAAAATACGGGCTCATTCTAGTCAGTAGATTAAATTAATCTATTTATGTTAACTTTTGATCGATAAAACAAATTCTTAAGAATATTAAGCAATAAAACAAAAGTGCTAAGCATTTTTTTAACAGATAAGATCAGTAAATAAAAGGCTACGAATTAATGCTTAAAGGTTTTTTGATACAGAATTCACGAAAAATAATAACGATACAATAGCAGGTCGAACATTAAACTCTCGTGTTTATGTACCAATTATTGCCATGACAAGTATATATATTATTTTTATTATAGATATTTTTAGCACTTTTTGCATTATAATTATGCTTACGGTGATGAGATCAATCTATGCAAAAACCCCATTCGTTTAACACAAAACTTCTAGGCCAACTAATATTTGGTCAGATACTGTTATAAACTTTACTATAACGAAGTAGTAGAGATATTACAGATAGTATGTCAGGTACAGAATATAACTATCCACTTTACGATATTATTATCCGAAACATTTACCTAGGCTTCTTGTCGTACGGTTTATCCAGAATTAAAAATATATCTTACACTATGATAACATGACTACAAGGTATCAGCCATGAACCAAAATAATTGGTAGTATAATTTCATGATTGCATGATTCAAATTCAATTCTTCTATGCAATAGTCAATTAATTTCACTTAAGGTCCTTTTGTCAAGTACATGTAAATGTCTTAGTATTTTTACCATACCTTTGTACCATATTTCTAGAAGAATCGGTCAGTAGATGGGCCCATACTCTTACAGTGATGCCCATTGAGTTTTGTGATGTTTTTGAATCATAGTATCGAAAGTTAAAAGGTTTAAAATGATAAAAGTAGATCACAAATAGTTTTATTAATCACTGGTACTTGTTGTTGACGTGCAGCATTTAGTACTATTAAGAAATATTTACATACAACCTGTTTTATGAATACATACTGTTCATTTTGGTTCACTTGAAATGTTGTAAGTAATGAATAAATTTACCAGTAGGTTTGTCCAGCAGATATAATCTTCAAAATCTTACGTCAAAATCATGTTTTATATTTATAACAAAGTGTTATTTGACAATACTATCAACCTTGGACCTTTACAAAATAAGTTATGATGAACCGGCATGACAAAAGCTTTAAAAGCCATACGTTTAACAATGTTTCTGAAAATAACAAGTTATTGTGCTGGGCTGTTCTAAGCTTATCTAATAGATTTAAAATTTTAGTCATAGTTGAGAAAAATAACCAAGTGTGATACATCAGATACAACTGGTACAAATTTTCTGGCATTATTTTAGTCTGTGAACAGGCTTCAGTCGTGCAGATCCCCTCTAATAGCTAAAAGTTCATCCGACCAGCCTTGCTTAGCCTTAATGAAAACCACAAGGTGCTACAACCTTAAGAATGAAAGCTAGAAATATATGAGCAGAAGCACATAATTATATATCGATTTCAATAGAAGGTGGTAGGGACGTACTTGAATTACATCAGATGAATTATTCTCTGTGAGTCCGAAATCCAAAGCCTGATATTCCGATGTGTGAACTCTAGACATGCGCCTTGAATGACTTAGTTTATCAATGAAATTTTGAAGTCTGTTATTGAGAACAGAAAATTCCTTTCCGGTCCTGTAAATATCTGTCGCATCAAAAGATACTGCTTTATGATTTCCGCTTTCACTTTCAGATATTCCTCTAATACCCTGACTTGAAATCTCTGGCGATTTATCTTGATTTTTACTGGTTGTCCCAGCTCCATGGAAACTCATTCAACTCGTGTTCACTGACTAGATTAAGGTAAACTGAACTGTTTGTGCTTTTTACCTTTCAAAATTTCATCAACATCCTTGAGAGCTGACGCCAAAATTTGGCTAGCTTCTAGGCTACTCATTTAAATCACATATCTAGTAATTTTTGACTCAGAATATATAGACACGCTTGCATGTTAACATAATCAAAAGTACTCAATCTTGTTTTTGGTGGTGTTTAGTACAAAAAAACAAAGACTTCGTATTTATGTACTCCTTCTTTTTCGCATTCACTAGTCGTTCCATCACCTCCATTAGTATTGTTAGTAATGAAACTGGTCTGAGACAGGTTGACTGTCTTCTATCTCATCCTACGAAGGCAGGAGAGAGTAGCTTGATGCTATTGAGCTGGGAAGTAGGATGACTTCAGTTATTGCATGAACAGATCACACACCAGTGAAAATGGGGTTCCATAAATTATTTCAAGATTACGATGTGAGTGTCGTCATGTCATGATTACTTTACTTGATGCAAGGATTTTAGTTTTTTTACTATTAAGCCAGGAGTAATTCGTATTTTCGTTTGGCCACCAATTGGCACTAGATTCGAGTGGTTCTCTGAACTTTTGGTTTCTTGGCTTAACAGGTGGCTGAAGTTGGTATTAAGGAACTTATTAATTCCTAAGTTAGTAAGATCTACGCCACCTGGACCTTTGAAAGCACGAACACTGATGTGTAGGTTTTCTCTCGGTAATGAACCTAAAGGAATATTTTTGGTTTGCCTGCATTTTGGTTGCTAGCTTCGTTTGAAAGTGTATCCTATCTCTTTAAACGTAGGCATTGTATCTGCTTCCCAATGATGAACAAGAACCTAGGTTGAAATCCTTTAGGCAGACCTTCCACTTGTATCAGACTTTCCTTTTTCGCCAGTAACAAAGGCTCAGCGCCTCACTTAACCAATATCCTTCTTCTTTCAGGTGTATGATACGTCTGAGTTAAATTGTTTAGAACTGCATTCTGAATAATATCTCTTCCTGTTTCCAAGTAATTCCCTGCCATCCGCCTCCACCATTCTCGTGACTGCGGGAAGTGTAGTAGATTCTCTCTCATGGTCGTAGTGTGTAACGTAGTATGGTGAATATCGGATGACTTTTCATCCCTCCTGAGCACCTCGTTTGCGACCATGTTGAACATCATTGCACCACAGTTGCTACTTCATATTTGAGTGTGGTCACGGACATCCTCGACCAGGAGCTGATTCTCTGTTAACAAATAACCCAAGTTTGAAAGTTTTCCATCATCACTCCATTTGGCAGCATTACGTTTAGGCTCACTCACTCCGCAACTTCTAATGGATGTGCCATATTGGAATTAGCCTCTAGAAGTTTTACCCTGTTTGCTGAGATTTACAGATGCAGCGTTGAAATCTCCAGGTAAGAGTATTTGATCAAGTGCAAGTAGAGGTAGTTGAAGTATTGCTTCAGCCACCTCACCTTTTTGGCTTTGGTACTAGATTGTAAATCGCCTTAAATCCCTCCCATCAAATATTTTGTTCCATTTACATCGAAGCAACAGTAGCATGATTCTGTCGGATCGGCTGTGTGCTATCTGATGCTACGGCGTTGCTATAGAGGCACATGTTGGTTTATCACATCACCTGGTGCTTTTCTGCTTTGACATCATTGCCCGGATTTCTCAACCAGTTCATCAAGTCGGCGAAACTAAGTCCTGTGTGAACTGGCCGCGACATACCGGACAGTGAACCCACGAACTGCAGAACTTACATTCAAACTCAGTGGTGCTGGTTTAAAAGGGCAACCAGAAGGCTGCACAACTGTCACTACAGTATACTGTCGGAATATTTTGTTTGCTTACGGTCCCTTATGACATAGCAAGATGAAACTAACCGATTATATTGATGTCACCTTCCCAATTCAACTACGTTTATGACTCTTGTTTGTTACATTGTAATGGTTTCACTTCTTGTTCGTTACATTGCAATGGTTTCACTTCCTACCAAGAAATCCCATTACAAGCTGTTTCGGGCAATTACATTAAAGAAGGATTCATTCGTGAGCAATGGTGTTAAAAAAAGGAGAATAGTAGGTAAAATATCACCAAAGGAGTCAAATCACAGTGCCTTCCTTTTAATGTTCTGTAAATCAACTTAATTTCTAACAATTTAGTTCTTTCGAATCCCCTTTGTTCATAAGATTATTTGCTCATTCGTTATCTTACTAGTGACTTGTCTTTAATAACCTAAATAAGTGCAGTCGTTTGGTTCGTGTTCAAAGAAAGAAAGATCTGAACAAATATACCTTCGATTTATTCAAAAAGCGTCTATGGAGTCATGACTTAATTTGCGTCAAGTAACGTATTTTTATGTGAGAATTTATTATTGTTACAGAAAGTGATAAGTGATCAATTATCTGAAAACCTATTTACATTAAGTCTCGTCACAAAACGGCTTCATTAGGACTGCTATGAGCTGCGAATTCGGAAGATTTCGTTAACGAATTTACCAGCATAGGCGTTCAGAAACAACAAGTGATACACGTCAGCTTTCCATAGAGTAACTCATATTCGTTTTACGTAATCTACATGATATGCTTGTAACTATTACGAGTTCACCTTACTCGGTAAACGGAACGAAGATTATCGATACAGTGACACTATAGGCTATTCTAATCCGATTGTTCCAGACTCTCCTAGCTAGGGCGAGAAGTCTTGATAAGGCGTAGAGAATGTAATCTACAGGCAACCAGAAAATACGAGGCTGCTAAGCACATAACTGAAGCTTATTAACACATTGACCGAAACTCCCTGGTAAGAGCCACAAAATAGCGCACTAAAATAACCCATCAACCAATGACAGTCAAGGATTTTCCGACTAGGCGCCTTCGGCGCAAAAACATTAAAATTTAAAAATTTAAGAATAAACAACGAAATTAGGACCTTAACCAAGTGATTTTTAGGGATTTTTCAAATGCAGTACTTCCAAAATGCGAAAACCTAGGTGTACGCTGTTGACTTGAAAGTCATCAGTAAAATTAATTAACGTGCTGTCAAAAGTTTTAAGCAAACGATCATGTGTGAAATCAGGAGTGTAGATCACTGGTTAGCGCTGGAGCATGGAACGCAATACTGGGAAATGAACTGCTCTTGCGAGTCGTCACATGAACTTCACCCTTTGCTGCTTAACCTTCATATGTAATGCATTCACTCAACCTGAGAAATAATCACTCATTTTAGATTGCACAAAACGCTGTTAAAAACCACAATTCTGTGAGTTCCTGGTATACTAATGTCAGTGTACCCTTTAAACATGCACTCAATTGACATACCATTGATCATATCCCTTTATGTATTGCCCCAGTTATAAATATAATATTCCTACCATTGATCATATCCCTTTATGTATTGCCCCAGTTATAAATATAATATTCCTAAATTTTCCTGTCTATGTTCATCAAAATCTTTTTGCCGATATACGCTAAATTATCCCCACTTCTTGCTATATGAATTAAAGTGGCGCGGTGATGTCCGAACCGTGGTTCGAATGCTGTTTGGTTGCACTAAAAATATTCGCATGTCTCTCAAACATCTGTTGTGACTGAATAGCAATTCGCTAGTGTTACCACAGTGAAATAACACAGAACAAAAGCTGTAGCTTTTCAGATTACATTTAGCCGTTTACGTTCTGATTCTGATTCCTGATTGATGCGAAGATCTGGAGGTCCATTAGAAGCGGGGACGATCCCTCTGGGCTCTAAAAAGACCGTACATCCCTTGAGGAATAAGCAGTTAAAAATAGTGTAAAACTAAACCAGCCGAAGTGTCACGCCATGTACATTCTGCCCCACATGAGGCAGATGATTTACACTCTCAAAGGAGGTCTGCTCCTCCATATCTCCTCCTCCATGCAAGTCCTAAATATACTAGTGACGCAGCTAAGGCAAATACAACTCTCCACTTTATGCGAAAACAACTTGGTGCTATCAACTCAGAATTATTCTTAACGATGTTCAAGACATATTCATGCCCACACTTTCGGGTTCATGACGCCGTCGCACCCCTCTCCTTTAAAGAGCCATAAATCTCTTGAATCGCGTGAACTTAATAGCAACCAATTGGGTGAGATGGTTGAAAAATAAACCTTACGATGATAGACTCCAGCTCTTGGGACTTTTCCCACTGAGTTCCAGGAGAATCAGAGGTAATCGGATTATGGCGTACAACATGCTGAGCACGCCATACCATCCCGATGTGAGCACCTTACCAATGCATCACCACCACTCACCTCTAGGCGATCCTTGAAAAATCGCAAATGAAAGAGTGAAAACTAAGGTTCATGCACAATTTTTCTCATTAAGAGTCGTTGCAACTTGGAATTCTTTCCCAGTCGAGGTGAGTACAGCGCTCCCAGTGGATAGTTACATAAGGAGACTTGATAAATATGCACACACATCTTTCCTATCATCTCTTCCTCGGACCAACTGTGCATGATGCATACCTCAAAACCTGCTAGTTGTTATTATTGCCATCTCCTCAGATCACTAACCTAATCTACCTTCGCTCTTACCTATTTCCTCTTCTTGCTACCACTTCGGCCCTCTCGCACAATCTTCACTACCAATTAATAGACTGAACAATCTTTTTAGTTACTTAGCTCTGAAATCCTCCTCTTATTAGCATTAGAATTTTCTCCTTATTATTATACACTCTGCAAATAACTGATCTTCGTTCTGGTAATGTGATAACTGCTGGTATCCAGA